TTCCCGGCGGCAGCGGCACTCCCTCGGCCCCTTCCTCTGAGGCGTTGAACCGCCGGGGCGGAAAGCGGTGGCTTGGTGATAGATCCCCTTGATTTGCATAATCACATAGCGTAACACAGTTACTGCGCTATCCTCTGCACGCGCGGAGCCTTAATCACCCGGTTGTATTTAAGAGGTGACTGGTGCTAACGTGGTTTCGTTACTTAAAGAATTAGTATGAAGATTCTTTTGTTCAGATCAGCCTGGGTTCTTTGGGATCTGTGGAAATGCATAGCACCATAAAGGGAGCCTGTTGCTCGGTCTGCAAACGACTTTGTAATTACTGCCGAGTATTCGTATAGTCCCTTCATTCTGACAAACTCCTTACATAACAACATCCCTTTCTGTTAATCTTTGTGGAATGCTGTGATTAAGATGAAGACTGTTCATCGGGTGATCACTTTGCAGCACGCACTTTTTCCTTACAACTCTAACTTTTATTATCTTACTTTCCTGTAGGTGGATTGGAATTCTTGCTCTTTACACAGTTCATAAGGGGCAGTTTAACTGTCCTGGGGGAGGATTACTGCACAGCTACTTGCTTGTCCTCCTTATTCTTCTGGCTTCTATAATATGTGCATTATCTGCACTTGTATATGTCAGTATGCAAGGTAAGTAGTTAATAATATTTTATATTTATCTGGTAGGATTGTAATATATATGTCTTTTTAATCTGGAGCTGACATAAAAAAAATGCAAAAAAATTCAAGTACTTTGATGGTAGTCAAACTTGAGCAACTGTTTGGCAGCATAATATATTTGTTTTAATAGTACTACCTCTGTTAGTCAGGAATCTAGAACAATAAATGGACCCGACAGCTTAATGCAGCTAACGGTGATACGCTCATTGCCATCAGAGCATCTTGAAAACTTGCTCTGTGTTCACCGTTAATACATGACCTTGAATGGAATGCCACGTAACTTCTCTGACAGGTATTTAGGGGAATTCATCCAAAATCAGTTTCTCATCTGAAGTATCATGTTGGCTTTGCCTTGCATAGGCAGATTTAGTCATGTCTTGTGAAAGTTCATTAGCTGCAGTGGGTTGCTTGGGGAAAAAAGACACACAGGACAGTGATCCATATAAATGTCACAGTAAAACTAATGCAGTAAGTACCATTAAGTAGAGCAGAACTTACAGCTTGAAGTGAGTGGCTAAACAGAAGTAAAGACCCCACTGCAACTTCTAGTCATTTGTAGAAATGGTTCATTTTGGGTTAAAAAAATGCTAGGAAAGCATTTTGCCTGGTGAGGCACCTCATTATCAAAATAATGCTAGGAAGATTAATTTGACATAGGTGTGTGGTCTCTGGAGTAATAGATGAGACCCCTCGATTTCTAATATATTCGTTCTCACAACACGCTGTAAATAAAAGAGTATTTAAATTATTTAAGTGGACTGAAGTACAGAGAGTGCATGAAGAGAAACTATGACAAAGCAGACATGTGGACGATAATCCTGGCCTTAAATGTAGCCACTAGTTTTCCTACAGTTTCCAGAGGAGGGAAGGGAAGATTAGCCAAGTTATGCTATTTATATTTATATCAAAGCTGAGGAGGTGAGATGTAACTGTAAATAGCAGGGAGAAAAGAGTCTTGTTCAGTATAAAAATACAGTTACAAGGCCATTATAAGTAAGAAATGGAAGAATTCTGAGGCTGATTTTCCCAGAAAATTAATGGTGAGATGACTTGGGCTGTGGTTGTAATGTGTGGGTTTGGGAGCAACGGTTCTTGCACCATGCCTTGCACTGTACTGATGTAGGTGTTAGTGATGCCAGTAGTGAACCTGACTGGAGAAATACACTGGGTTGTGGTGCTGAGAAGGGAAAGAAGTTGTTTTCAGGAGCCACAGTTCCATCCGATTGTGTCTGTGTAAGCAACCGTGCTGCTGCAGTACAGGCTACAACCCAGGAATGGGAACAAGTGACCACTGGATCAAGGGCTTTTTAAACAGCTTTGTCGCTAGATATGAACTACAGCTTTACAACTGGAAAATAGTTTCCAAAGTTGTTTTTGTTCTGCAATGTTTTAAGCCTTTAGAAATTATCCTGCCTACACATGAGCATGCATGCCACACCACCTCATTGCCCTGCAATCAACAAACTGGTTTAAGGAGCTGAGCTGGCCAATAATTACTCCCTTTTTTATTGCTAAGAGTGCTAAAATGAAGAGGTTATTAGTAAACTAACAATACAGAAAATAGTCTAGGAATTATTTGTCCTGGTAATGGTCCTACTTTTGTTTTCCTAAATAAAATTTGAATGGATTTATTATTTAGTGAGTTAGTAAACAGAACTTCATTGCAGACCAGCAGTAGCATCTAAAAATTAAATATTCATCCAACTAAAAGCTAAATAGAATATTAGTAAAAGCAGGCACAAAAAGTCATAAGGAACTGCAGGCAAGCCAGTGCTCCTGTATGCTGCTTTGGCTTATGCTGGGCACAGCACTACTGCCTCAAGTTCACTGCAGAACTGTCTGTGACTAGACAGTGATTTGGGGTATTAGTAGAGTAGATTCTAAGAATCACAGCTATAAACCCTTTGTTTTTCTTTTCTCAGCTTCAGTGGTAGCTTTCCATTAGTATGAAAATACTTTATAATTTCAGTTAAGTTTCTTATTTTCTGTAAAGATCAGAAAGTTCATATATCTGGGTAGGATTTTATGTACTTAAGATGCATTCATAAACAGTTCTTGTTTTAAGTTTTTCCTGTAATTTCAGGAACAATTTCTAATCCAGGCCCAAGAAAATCACTCCCCAAGCTACTTTATACTCGTCTACTTCTCTATTTGCCTGAATTCATCTGGGCTGTTGTAGGAGCTGTGTGGGTGTCAGACAGCAGTGTGCACTGCGAAAAGACTGTGATAAATGTCATCATGGGGACAGTTATTGCAAGGTAAAGGTGCTTCCCCCCAAATCTAAGCTTGGTAGTGTAGTAGTGTACGTGAAATGAAAAATACTGCTTACGTGGCTTTTGTATGTGTTTATTGAAGGCCTTCCCAGCAGCTGGAGACTTTGGTATTTTTTGTAAATTATTGTGGTTTCTCAACAAAGGGTTTATGTTGTGAAAGAAAAATTTTTAAATCTAGACAGCTAGGGTGAGTTGGTATCCTTCCCTAAACAAGCTTGAGCTACTTGCCTTGAGAGGGCATGTGCTGCAGTGAAGGAAAGGAGATGAAGATCAGAAAGAGTAAGAGGGAGAGATGGGAATGTAGAAAACTGGATAAATGTGAAGAGGGTAGTAGCTAGATCACTTAACTGGTGGTGAAAAACGGAGCCTTCACACCTCTGGTTTGCTATTTCCAAAGCACAGGGCTGTGATTTTCGGTTTGGTGCCCTATGTGAATACAAGCTGACAGCCTTGTTCTTGTGCCTAGTGGATTGAAAGCCCGATAACAAAACATGCACCCTTAAGACAGTAACAGATGGTGTTCATACAGTATTTCATATCTAACTGTGTTTTCTGTCTGTCAAGGTATGTAGTTGTGTTTTCTTGCATACTTGTCAGAACTATCTGGTTTCACAGTCTTTTTATCCCACTTCCTTCTGGTTTGCAGCTGGGTTATCATCATCTTTACCGTTATTGGAGTTGTAATCGTCTTTGATCCACTTGGGGGGAAAAAGACGTTTTACCTCACCGATAGTGTAAATCGGAACCTGGAAAGCAGCCAGTCAGGGCAATTGCTATATAATGTGAAGAACACTGCCACCAGAGTCTGGGAAAAAAGAATCAGGTTACTGTGTTGTTGTATTGTGCAAGACGATGACCATCGAGTGGCTTTTACAAGTATCGCAGAGCTTTTCCGCACCTACTTTTCCGTAAGATGAAAAGCTTTTTTTATATTCTATTTTTTTACTAACTCTGAATTTGCAAACATTGCAACACACATGTATGTTTGTTCAGCCAGAGGTCCCTGCTACCCTGTGCCTTGAAGTCAGGTTTTGAATATGCCAATTTCAAAATCAGAGGTGATTCTTATACAAGATAAGCAACACTAATTTTCCCCTCTCTTTAGCAAATGTTTCTGTCCCTTCACCAGCATGAAGGGCTGTGAGAAAACAGTATTCTTTCTCCTTTGGTTAGTGTCTAGTCAGGAGAACAAGGGTGAGTTTCTTTTCCTCAATATGTGAACTGGTGTAGAACAGTGATCAGTAATGGATCGTTGTTCGCTATATGGCTTAGCGGGTCCTCTGTCGGGTATTAAGTGATGAAATTCATGTTAGAATTGTCGTCAGTCTTATTGAAGAAAACATTCAATACGTACAAAAGGGATGGGAGGTTAGATGCTGCTGTGACTTGTTTCTCCAGTGCATATTGTCTTTCAGTGAAAATGTATTTATACTGAAAAAATAGAATGCTGTGTGCATTTTCTTTTGGGATTGTTTTGCCTTGTTGAGGTGTGGGATGGTTTAATCACTCTTTCGTGTCTTTGTACAGGACACTGATCTGGTGCCAAGTGACATAGCAGCTGGTTTGACGCTGCTCCATCAAGAGCAAGATAAAATGGAAAGTTGTCCAAAAGAGCCTGAAGAAGTCCTGTGTCATTCTCCATCATCTCTTCTGGTAAGACTTGTTACTTGTTAACTCTTGTTGCAGCCTCTGGTGCAGTTGCTGTAGGAGATGGTGCCAGATCAAATTGAAATGTGGTTCTTTGTGCAAGGGTGTTTTGTTTGTTTGATTTTGTTTTTAACAAAATTAAACACTACTATAAAAATTCACAACAATTTAAGTTATTAATAAATGCAGTGAAAACATCTTGATGAGTTTGCAGTCAAAACGTTTGTCTGCTTTTGCATAAGTAGAACTTGTATATGAATGGGGAATTAATTACAAAAAAGAACCATTTAGGACATCTGATCATTGTTGAAGAGCTAGGAGAGAAAGGGAACAGAGGGAAAATTAATATTTAGCGCTTTTTGCATAGAACTGAAAAGATGGTCTTTTAGTATTGTGATCTGTTTAAATTACGTCTGCTAGAAATATCCAGACAAGGTAAGAAGCAAAAATAGCATCTTTTAAAAGCTTGCAGATGGTGGGTTGCACTTTGCTAATTGATTTGTGCTGGTCATTTATGGTAAAACGCCTTTGTAAATTATTTTACCTTCTTTTGGTCTGTGTTTCATAGAAGTAGATAATTCTACTTCAACCAATGCATTTCTGTCAACTTCCTTTTGAATCCAGCCAATATGGGTTCGTCAGAGGGTAGATTTAGACGAGATGTAAGGAAGAAATTTTTCACAATGAGGGTGGTGAAACACTGACTCAGGTTGCCTAGAGAGGTGGTAGATGCCCCATCCCTGGGAACATTCGCGATCAGGTGGGATGGGGCTCTAAGTGACCTGATCTAGTTGAAGATGTCCCTGCTCATTGCAGGGGGGTTGGACTAGATGGCCTCTAAAGGCCCCTTCCAACCCAAAGATTCTGTGATTCGTGTTTTAGAAGTCCTTAGCAAAGAGGTCTGCTGCAGACTCTTCAGCCATTCCTTTGACAGCCTTAAGTAACATATTTGGAGCAAAAGTTGTTTTCAGTATTGAGCTTATCAGCTTATAAGTATTGGAAGAAACGGATTTAATGAGAGCTTTTCAAGATTCTTGAGCTGTGTAGCTATGTAAATAAACACAGACTTTTTCCTGGAATATGAGTGGCTATTTTTAGTTCATCTTAGACCTTGAGGTTTTCCTTTTGGATAGTGTGTATTTCATCATGCCTTGATGATGTGTTCAGGTTTTATTCTGGGGCTGCCTAACACACCTTTCTTCCTCTCTCTCCTTCCTTTTCTTTCCCTGTGTCCTTTCAGACAGATGATTTGGATATCGAACTGGAGAATGCTGCCCACTATATGCTGTTTGCTGCAGCTGCTTATGGCTGGCCCTACTACATATACACCAACCCATTTACTGCACTTTGTAAGCTCAATGGTGACTGGTAGGTTCAATCAAGAGCTTAAAACCACATAGCTTCCTGTTATTTAGCTAGTGTTAGCAGAAACAAAATAGTTTTAATAGCAGTGGTTTTGTTGCATTAAATTATATCACATGAGCTTGACTGGTACAGCTATCTTTCACAAATTCAAACATCAAAGTAGAAACAAAATTCCAACATCTTTCCACCTTCAGAAACAGAACAGCTTTTTGTTTCTTAAGACGAGTTTGTGATTGAGATAAATAGAATTCATTTAGCAAATGACAAAGGAAGAATTGGAATGAAACCAAACAGGTTTTAAAAGGAGGCTTTTTAAAGCTACCTCTTGGGCACATATATGTGTATAGAAATAAAAGTGTATCAACAGTTTTCTCTGTCTTAAAGGAATTAGCAAAAGTTACCTGTCCCTCCAGCCTCCGTTTTATTCCTTTTGTCCACTTTACTCAAAAAAAATGTTTACAGTCAGTATTGAAGTATGCGTAATGCTGTGTAGGATTACTGTATATTTAAGTAACCACCAATGTTTGTGACTGTAACCGTGATTTTCTTAATTAGTAATGTGAAATTATTTAACCTACTGAAATAGAAATGACTTGGGAGAAAAAAATACTGCATAATACAATGGATAAAACATGTGATGACCCTACTGTACAGAATTTGTTTTGAATTTCCTTTTTTCTTGTTTGTATTTTCTGTCATTGGCCTGTAGTCTTAAAAATGCTTTCCTTATTGGACTGTTTGCTCTGCCGATAGTCTTGTAGCAATGCTGTATTTGCCAGTCCTTGAACTGAAAATGTATGGCATGCTGCTCAGACCAAACCAGGTTTGTGGGCAGAGGTAACATCTTCTATCAGACTACCTAGACAATGGGGGGGCGGGGTGGGGGAGTATTTTAAAAAAAAAAAAAAAAAGGGCAGTTGATTCATGGCAGAAATCCTTCTGCAAATGTAACTGAGTTTCATTCCTCGAAAGGAAACTTAAAAAATTTGAACATGAAAGTTTTTTCTCTTCTGTGTTTGTTAGTTGCGGAAATAGACCAACAGATTCTGATATAACTGGCAGTGATCGTCATAACTTTCACTTTGGATCCATCCTAAAAATAACAGGACTGCAGTACAGAGACTTCATTCATATCAGTTTTCATAACAAGGTAAACAATCTGGACAGGCATTCAGCAGAAAAATTTAGTGATTAATTTAGTGAAAGCAAGAGGTGCAGTTTCTACTTGCCTTCAGCATTTATAATGTGCAAGATGCAAAGCCAAATGAAAACAGGCCCTGAAACATTCAGTTCTGATTTTTTTTTTGTCCAGTCTGAAGGAACAGCCAAAAAACCAGTAACATAAGTCTGTCTCAGTATTGCAATAAAGGCACTTACACTAACTTGATAAGAAACTAATTCAGCTTCTTTCCATAATACAATAAAGAGAGGTTTCAGAAGGTGAGAACAAAGTTGGTGTCTTTACTGATTACATTTTTCCCCTCCAGATCTATGAGATTCCGTTTTTTGTTGCTTTGGATCACAAAAAAGAAGCTATTGTGGTTGCAGTGAGAGGAACCTTGTCTTTTGAGGTATCATCCATCTGATCTATAGAATTAGCTTTATAGAAATGGGTGAATTCCTAGTATCTAGAGGAAATTGTGTTACACTGGCACATGTAAAAGATATGATTCACATTCACAGGTATGATTCTTCCAGGTTTAAGTTGTAAGCCCTCCCATCTGTGGATGGGTAATATTCCCTGTGGCACTGGAAGAGAGTGTGGAGGGCGGGCAGCGGTAATTCCTTTTCACTGTGCGTAGAGGTGCATTTGAAAGGTTTGTGTTTGCAGCTTGGAAATAGCTGCTGAAATCAGAATTGTGATTGCTGTATATATTGGCTTGGGTGGTGTTTTATGGTGGATTGTGTTTTGTTGCTTACAAACTTGGAAGTCAGCTTGATGATGTCTCTATGACAATGTTGAGTTGCAGAGTGTGACCCATGAGCCATGAAGCCCCGCAGAGACATCTGACAAAAGCTGTATTGTTTACAGGACATTCTCACTGATCTGTCGGCAGATTGCGAAGACTTGACACTGGAGGATGTTCTAGAGAACGGCTTTGTGCATAAGGTGTGTGCAGCCTGTAGCTGTTTATAAATCATCTCAGCAGTAAGAAAACTATAAACACCTGGGATCCCTTAGTTAAACAGAAGAGTATTCTCCTTGTGAGATGGATTGCACAAATTATTTCTGTGACTTGATTGTTGCATCAAATACTGCCTCTGGAACTGCAAGGTAGAATTAGTAATCCTCTTGTCAGACTTTTTGATATATTTAATAAGGACATAATCTTTTTAACCATTATGTACAAGACCACTTGGTTATAACTAGACCTCTGTCAGGAGCATGTTCAAAGAGAAGACCAGCTTTGCAAAAAGGAAGTTGTAACATGATGGTGGTGTGTTTAAAGTATACATGTATCACTGTTCAGGTTAGATATACCCTTCTCTTCTAACTTTAAATGCTGTCTTGTAGGGAATAACTCAAGCTGCAAATTACATCTATCAAAAGCTGATAAATGATGGAATTTTAAACCAGGCTTTCACAATTGCTCCAGTAAGTTAACTTGCAAATAATTTGGTTTGCCAGAAGAATTACACAAAGCTTTTTCTGCGTCCGTCTATGTTTCAGTCTTCTCTTTCTGTCTGTAGGAATATAAACTTGTGATAGTTGGTCACAGTTTGGGTGGTGGAACAGCTTCTATATTGGCGATCATGCTCAGGAACTCTTTCCGAACATTAAGATGTTATGCCTTTTCTCCTCCAGGAGGACTTTTAAGGTAAATATGAAACTTCTGTTATTTGATTCTGTGTCCAAGATGTAAAAATCTTCAAGGTAGTTGACAAATACGTTAGATGGTAACTCTGGGCTTGACTGTTAAGAGGTTGTTTATACATTCTCCACTAGAATTAGATTTGCTCAATCTCGAGTTATAGTCGAGTTCTTGGGGGAATATTACAGAGTGAAATATATCCAGTGAATTGTGTCAGATAGTGTAATTGGAGTTTAAAATAAATGTTCCAGAAATAAAATGCTTGCCTGTCTAGCTTGGCCTGTTTGACATCTACACATACTGTTACAATCAGCATTGAAATTACTCTGTCATCTGTAGCAAGTAGGTCTGAAAGCCTACTGAAGTGCTGACTGCAAATGCTGATGCTTGTTGCCACATATTTGTATTTTTATTGAATGATAATGATCATCATAAAGCTAAAGTGTGCCTATCTCTTTAGAGTATCTAAAGTGCATCTTTTTTTTTCTTCTTAAGCAAATCACTTGCAGATTACACTAAGCACTTCATCGTTTCAGTCATTGTTGGAAAGGACCTTGTTGCAAGGTGAGATGGAAATATTTTTAAATTATTTGTTCAAGGATGCATTAGATCGCAGAGAATAGAAGCCTTTGCTTTGCTTTGTTCTATCTGTGTTTAAACAGGTTAAGTATGCCCAACATGGAGGATTTAAAGAGGAGAATAGTGAGAATTGTGGCAAACTGCAGCAGACCCAAGGTAACTAAATACAGTTCCTGGTTGAAAGTCAGTGGAATTGTTAGCTGGGTTAAGCCTCAGCTTTAATGAAGTGACAATTGATGTGTGTATTTTGATCTTAATGAAGAGAGTTACAGTTGTGTTTTGGAACGAAAGTATTTGTTTTTAATTCCACAACACTTGTGTTAGGCTCTTGTCCTATAAAGCTGTCTTCTTGGAAATTGAGATTCAACAAGACCTGGAAGATACCCAAGACCTGAAATTATCTGTTTGCTAGTTTTGCTGATTAAGAAAACTATTAAAAAATTAAAAGGGGAAAAAAAAAACAAACCCCCAAACAAACCAGCTAAAATGATGAAAAATCAGTAAGAATACTTACTTTAATAACCATTTAGTATCAGTAAGTAAACAGATTAGTGATTTTATTTAAATTTCGTCTTCAGAATTCATTTGGAAAGCAAATATTTCTCTGTTATGGTGTTAATTGCTTACCTCTTCTTTTTACTGTTAGTGAGAAGCATAGTTTTCAAAGTGCTGGAACAGTGTGGTATCAGGCAAGATGATACTGGAGGTATAGAGGAGTGACTTAAAGATTCAAAACTGCCATTTCTGAACATCTACAGTTAAATATGCTGTACTTGCAAGATTTTCATGTAGGCCCAGGATCAGGAGTCATGTAGAGGGCCTGGGTGATGTTGTAAATACAGAATAAGATAATGCACAATTAGAAGTTACAGGTGCAAGAAAACTTCCATCTCCAGAGCAGAATCCACACAGAATAATTCAACTGGTAAAGACTGTAACGTTTTCCGTAGTGTTACTAGTGGTGTGGGTTAGATATCGGTGAAATAGGTATTACTGTGGGGGAAACTCAGTAAGGAGATTTTCTCAAAAACAGTTTGGGGAGCATGTGCATACAGTCATTTTTAATCTTTTAATTGTAGTTTCAGATGATGCGCATTGCAAGCACACAACTAGAATAAGTTACTTGAGGTGCCAAACTTCAATTCAGCTGTTTTTCTTTCTGAATTCAGTACCAGATTTTGCTGCGTGGGTGTTGGTACGAAGTATTTGGAGGAGATCCAGATAACTTCCCAACTGAGCTGGATGGTAGAAACCAAGATGCCCTCACCCAGCCACTTCTAGCTGAGGAGAGTTTAATGGTTCATCGGTCACCTTCATACAATGCCCTTGAGGATGAATCGCACTTAAATTCACCATCCCAGTATCCTCATCTGTATCTTCCTGGAAAGATTATCCATATTGTAGAAGAATCCAGCTCTAGGAGGTAACTAGAATAATGAATACGACTGTCTTGTTTTCCTAAAATCTACTTAAAGCTGCTTCTCACTTTCAAAGTCCGTGTTTCCAGCTCTGCTTCTCGTCTGCATCTCCAGTAGCCATCTTTGGTTATTATGCATTAGCCAGCTTTTCAGTTTTTATTCTGTGCCTCTCTGCTTCTTTCTGTTCACTTAAAGCCCTGGAAACTGTTTCTCTTTACGGCTGCGTGCCTTACTCTGCCCATATACTGCAAGTGCTCAGGGGATGATGTTCAACAGTAAGACTGTTAAGTTCAGCTTTGGCATTCTGCAGTTCCTGCCTGAGAATGCAGATCTTGCAGTCTTACGGCCTGGTAGTGGCGAAGTGGTAACAAAATACCTAGTTATTGAGTAGTCATATGAATATTGGTGATGAGAGTGAGGCAAAATATTGCCCATAATACTGGCCCGGCCAAACTGGAGAGAACCAGTTGCCCCAGTACCCAGCGTGCCCACACAGCCTCTAGTTTCTTGTCCTTTTGCTGCTTTTTTGTGGATGCAGAAAAGTGAGACAACAGAAAAGCTGAAACTGCTGGAAGGGTGAGGATCGTGGTTTTGTTGGGACAATGTGTTTTAGGGGTTGGGGTTTTTTGTTTGTGTTTTGTTGATGTTGGGGGTTTTTTAGGCAAAACAACCTGAAACAGCCCGTAGGCTGGACATTATCTGGTCTACTCCCTTGCTTCATTCTGAAACAGAAATAGGAGGAGGAAAAAAAAAAAATCTGTAACTCTCAGAAGAGGGAAGAAAAGGGCTGGAGAAGAAATCTGCTCTTTTTCCTCCCATTCAGTAGATTAGTATTTTATTTAAGCTTCACATCTTTAACAATTTTAATGCTGGTTTTACAAGTTAGATAGTTTAACACATGACCTGGCAAGGTTTTCTTGATGGCTGCTCTTCTACTGTTCTTTTCCTTCATTTACTCCAATCATGTTTTTTTCATAATTGGACTAGCACACAAGAGCCCCCATCAGGTACTGTTCTGTAAAATAAAATCCTAAGTACATCATAATTGCAGCAGTAAGTCTGGTGCCTGGTCTCCTACTGATACCACTGTGACTTGTTCCCTAAATTGGATATTAACCGTGTGAAAGGGCAGTGCTTGGCACCTCATCCCCCTTTGCTCCGACTGTTTCTGTGTTTCTTTGAGCAGGATTATTTGATCGCTTCTTTCACTGTTAAGGCATGATATAATTTGGTGTAGTTCTGCCTTCAGGGACGTGGAATGGCAGTGCTTCCAGCTGTTTCCTGAAGGCCAGAACTGCAGCTCTGTGGGAGCCTGTCTGCCTGCCCGCAGGGAGAAGGTTCCAGTTCCTCCCTGAGCAAGGGCAGAAGTCTTGGGGTTGGCTGTTTCAGGCTTGGCATCGAGCACCAGTTCTCAGTGTCTGAGTTGTTGCATTTGTGGTGTGTTTGTGTTTGTTTTTTTAGGTTGTGCTCTTCAGATATTAAATATATGGCAAGATGGTCAAATGAAACAGCCTTCAGCAGCATTTTAATAAGTCCCAAGATGATAACAGACCACATGCCAGATGTTGTGCTCAAAGCTTTGAACAGTTTGTCTCAAGAACATGGATCGTGTAGTTCTTGTCAAACACGAGAATGTAACACCAACGTGGTATAACCGCAGCTCGAAGATGAGGTGTGTGGGGGCTTATGGCAGGTTTCAAGTATTCAGGACCCATTCCACTTCCTTATCTAAGTAAGTAAGTGGGTTTCAGTACTTTCTCACATTGCATAAAATAAACAGGGGTCTTTCTGCAGCGACCTTGAGGGACGGTATGCTGGTTAAAGCACAGATTCAGCATTTCTGCTGAAGGCTGCTGAGCTGGTTTGAAATAGAGCAGTATGACAAGTTTTAGCCAAGCCTGTGTACGCTGGCGCATTTTGCTGAGGCGTCAGCTGAATACTTGACCAAAGGCGAGTGCGTGAGGACAGCTGGGCCTACTCATTAAAGCAGAACTCTGTCAAACCTTAAAAAAATTTAAAAATGTGGTTCTGCTTCAGAGTCACTTCAGGCTGTTGTCTTGGTGCTGTGACCCACCCTTGCAAAGCCTGGAGGGCGCTGTGTGAAGGGAGCGCTATGAAAGCAGTACGGCCGTGTGCGAGCAGCTGGAGGGGCGTAAGTGCGAGCACAAGCCTGCAGTGGGTGACAGCATGCGCGCAGGCCCCCCAGGCTGCTTTTTAATCAGGCGGTTGCGATTGCACTATTTTTCTTACAGATCTGGGGGTAGGGGGAGTGTTGCGGTTAAATGCTGCTTGGATATATACATGTGCAATATTCTTTGATCTACCTGTCTTTTGTATTTGTTGAGCCACAAGACTGACTACTTTGATTTTTAAACTCAACTAAACTAATACTATAACTACTTGAGGAAAAAGAGGGGGAAAAAATGCTGTTCATGCCCTGGACATCATCTTAGTCACTAGCTCCAACTACCGAGAGAGAACAGAGAGAGAACACTGATCCAATTCTACAAAAAATGTAGAACAAGTTGTACTGATTTTAAAAAAGTAGATTCCTTGTTTCTAGTGTTCAATTATTTTAACTTTTTTTTAATGCTCAGCAACATTTCTTATTAAAAAATTTATTAGAAATAAGTAGAAGTAATATGATGTGGCTGAGAATAACTGTGGTTTTGTTCTTGCTGTGATACTTAATATGGCGACAAAATAAAATACACTCTAAAAACTTGTCTTACATGTTCAGGTATGCTGGGGTGAGATGAAAGTTGCTAGTTCAGTAGCTGTGCAGCAAGGTAAGTCCACAGCAATAGTGATCACAGGCAAGTGCCATTTTCAGACTGCGAGTGGGCGACCGGGGAGCTACCACACACAGACACAGCACGGCTGTAACCTCAAAAGGTTAAAATCCGAGGCATGCACTTAAGCACAAACTATGCTGCAGCAGGGCTATCATTTTACAAACAGTTGAAGTAAGAAAGAGTTTTAGAGGAAAAGTACTTTGGTTTGCAAACAATAGTGAAACAGGTATTTTTCCCCCCTGGTTGGCAGCAGCTTTAAAACATTGCAGAAGCAGGAGCTAGGAACAACTCCAAACAACAATGAAGAAAGGGTGCCCAGTAGTGTATTTAATTCTGGGTCTTGACCACTGCAAGCCTGCTATGACAAGTACCCCACACTGCTGTTTGTTAGCAGAGGAAGAACAACACTTGCTCATGGTGGTAACAAGAAAGAGAACACTTGCTCAGAAACTCAAACATTACCACACATGTGATTCAAGGATTTATTAAGTCAAGTCATACATGCAAAACATACTGCTAATTGCATTAGCAAAAGATCAATGTAAAAACTTCACCATTTTGCAACTTTTATTTTTAAATTTCACTTTAGTGGTTGAAAGGGTGTAGTTCAGCATTGTATTCCTGCCAGTTTAGGATGTACAGAACATGAGCACTAATTTACAGAACCTCACAGACCCCAGTTACCATTACTCAATCTATGCTGCACATGTACATGTAGTGACATAAAGAACACTTGTCTGCATTAGTAATGTTTGTTACAGTGGTGGGGACATCTGGCAAATAGCAATATTTGAGAAGGTTCATAGAGGTTTAAAATATAAAAATTACTAAAATGTGTAAAGCTGCTTCACATGATTTTTACACCTAGTTAATAGACTAAAAGCTCCTCAGAAAGCATATAACTTACTGGGTCAGAAATAACAGGAAAATAAGGAGGATATGCTTGAACATTCTACTCTACAAAAAAAAAAGCAAATTTCTATCCTCAGAAAGGTTTTAAAATACAAGTTATATTGCTCAGTAAGAAGAGATTCTACAAGAAAAGCATTTACTACACAACAGTTGTGGGAATGACCAGTTCAGAACTGTACCTAAATGAATGCCCTACTTGAAATTCAAAGGAATTCACCTATGAACACCAACCTCTCTCCCACTACTGCACCGCTGGGAAAATGGTCTCCAATTTAGCCTGCACTAAAAGTCAATTCTGTTTCAGCTACCCTGGCAGTGTAGTGTACATCATCATCAGTGTCAAAATACTGTCTGGCACTATCATTTGATCCAACCCAATATTTCACTGATCCATCACAATCCGATGCTGTCAAAGGCCTAGATACACTTCAGTAAGAACAGTTATTTTTAAATCACAGCAGCAAGAACTAGATTGCAACCAAGCCCTTACCAACAAGAAAGCATTTTACACTGTGACTCAAGGGTGTCAGTCACTGTCAACAGCTGAGGTTCGATATATACCATGCTATGCAATGACTGGGGGTTGAGAAAACATTTAATAGTAAAACACATTAGAGTGCAGTGTTCTGCTAATTACACTGTACGGTCACCGTGAAAAACTAGAAAGTGTTTTTGCATTTCCTACCAGAAATTAGAGTAATCTTCAAGAAAAGTCTTTAAAAAACAGTTTAGTGCTTAGTGTTTGTAGCACAACGACGCAACTTAGTTCAGCAGATAGTTTGGCAACACTTAATTGAGCAAGAACAGGATTTTAAAAATAAGGCTTTACATAGGTTTTTTGTCTTTTCAGGAGTTTGCTTTTAGAAGAATGCAAGGTAACTTTCAGACTTTAAACAAATGAAACCATAGAATTGTTGATTGGTTCAAGAATTTATGGAAAAGAACTAATTTATAACAGAAAAACTTGGCATTGAGTGTGAATGCTCCATTGTTCTGAGCAGAGCACAGGGTTTGGAGTGGGGTGGGGGAGGGGAACATTTACAGCAGCAGACATTTTCTCTTCCTCTTCTTTACAGGAGGGGGGCACAGAACTGCTCGGATAGCTTCATCAAACACTGTCTTGAGGCCTCGCTGTGTAAGTGCTGAGCATTCTAGGTATTTCACTGCACCTGTGGAAAGCAGAAAGGCAATTAAAAAGCCATTTTCCACAATTAAAGCAGCACTGCTTCCAGCTAACTCTGCAAGAAAAGCCAGGCATTTCTTTTAATTAATGTACAACATCATCCACAAAGTAGGTTTAGATCAAGTCAACAATAACCCCATCGCCTTCGTACCAATCTCTTTTGCCATGGCAAGGCCCTGTGGGTAGGTGATAGGAGTCAGCTTCTTCTCCTTCAGTTTTTCAATAGTGTCCTTGTCATCCCGGAGATCAAGTTTGGTACCCACCAAAATGATGGGGGTGTTGGGGCAGTGGTGCCGCACCTCAGGATACCACTGCAAAAAAAGAGCTTAGGTTGGGGAGGCAGATTTCCACGAAGGCTCTCGAACACTTATGACCAAAAGGCTCCATCATGACACTTGCCAGAGTCCATCAAAGAGTAAAGGGAATAACACAAGACTCCATTAACACAGTATTGAAAAGCAGCATACAATTGCAAAACATTTTTAATAAAGCCAACAGGTATTTCCATTTACTCGAAAAATGTAACCCCTTAAGGGCTGTATTTTCTCCACACCCTTGAAAAACCCCGATCTGTACTTCCCCCACCCACGGAGCCCACCTCTCATTTGTGAGGTCTCCACAATGCCATACAGCAGAGTCCTCCAAGGACCTGAAAGACTGCAACAGTAGCAGAGCACATGCTAGGACAGCAGCCGATTCAAGAAACAAGTGCTATCAACCTAATTTTTACATGACTTTTTTTTTTAATAATATTTTTCTTTAAATTGTATTAAAAGGAAAGTTCCTGTTCATGATCTTGGCACCTTGTTGACTGAAAACTCTTAAACTACTGTTATCTTATCAGTGCATCAAGGAATTACCCAATTCTTGAGCTCTGAACTTCCACGACTTAGAAGTCTGGCAAATGGATTTCTGCACCTTTTCAAACTACATTTCACATTGCCTGCCAAAATAAATTTTTTTTTTTTAAATCAACTAATATTTTCCAGCCAGTGCTTGTAAATTGAAGACTACGTTGATTCCTTAGAAATAAAATTTTACCAGCTTGTACTTACCTTAGCACGGACATTTTCAAAGGAAGCGGGACTCACGAGGGAAAAGCAGATTAAGAAGACATCCTACAAAACAGGTTGATAGAATTTAGCCCAGGAGAGCAACCACTATAAAATCTCATCAGCATGAAGAGGCCAGTATCACCAGCACCTATATCACACTGTCATCCCTATCACACTTGCAAAAGGCAAGGCCAACACCACAGTTGCACATGACAATCGGAGGTGGCTTTCCCAGTGGGAAACCCATTCCCAGGCAGCTACAAGCAGACACAAAGTGGAGGAACCAACAACAAACGGACTGTAATCAAGTTTATGATCTATAAGATCTATAGATTGTAATCTATTGCAGTAGCCAGCAACTAAACCACTAAAACCATTGCATTGCAAGCTTTTTTTTTTCCCCCTAAGTGTCATTTATTCTCCCTCACTGACATTCGGAAAAAAAAACCCCAAAAAACCCACAAAACCCAACACACTTCAGATCCTTGACACACACAGGAAGCAATGAAGAGTCGTTAGACTGGCTTCTGCACTGGGGCTGAACGCTCTTTGCAGACCTCTAGGTGATTTAAGCCTTGAAAGACATGTACCTCATCAGCACAGGATGTTGCAAAGTGTTAACCTTTGGCATTGATTTTTTAAATACAAATATGCTATTAATATACTACTCTAAAGTAGTCTTAAATTGCAAAGGCGAAGTATACAACATGGAATAAAAAAAACCCCAACAATAATTTCTACAATTATTACTTCCATGCCCAAGTCAGAAGAATCTTGTAGAACTGTCACATCTACTGAACGTCAGTATAAAAAGATTTCAGAATTTCTCTGTAACCAAATTAGGATTGAGAAGGATATTAAAAACCTCAAAGCTCCCTCCTTCCCTTTCTAAATGATGTGAAAGCAGAGAAAAGTGAGTGTTTTCAGGGGTCTTGCACATCTCACTTTTCAACTAAGACAAAAGAAATATTGTAAGAGCAGGTAAAAACATTTTAGAGCCAATGCTTACACTACTTGCCATTCAGTATACACTTCAAAAAAACCCAATGAGCTTCATCCATGCACCAGTCTATGAGCATTCAGAATAACCACAGAGTTAATTTCTGCTGTCTAACCAGGAGGACTGTAATCTTGCTGTATGACCCAAAACTCAATAAGCATCTCTCAAACAAGCCCAACTTTCTACAATCCAGCTCTGCATCCGTACTTATTATTAAATGCGTTAAAGAATCAGGCATGTCAGAATGTTAGTTGATTGTGCTGCATTTCAAGGCATTTTGTTAGGTCAGCATCTGACAGCTGCACTGCTAAGCACTTGCAACCCAGTTGTTCATGCATCACCCCAAGAAGTTTCTGAAGCAGCATCCCAGAAGAAGAAAGAAACAACATCAAATGTGATACTATGGCCACTACTTCCATTTTCCAGTTCTGTAGCTTTGTGGTGACTAAAGATCTGCACATTATACAGACTCTCTCCTTTGCTAGCTCCAGCGATTAAAAAAAAATTTTAAAAAAAAAAATCAGTGTAACCATGAGGAATTATTTGAAGATTTCAGGTGTCTTGCACACTACCAACCTTAGTAAGTAGGAGGAAAAGCTATTTACTTGCAAGAAAAGGTTGTCTTAGCAACTCATATAAAAAGATTTGGTAACGGAGTTCTCAGATCTAGCAATTCGATAGTTCCAAGAAAAACAGTTGTTTAAAAAAAATAGGGGCCAATTTATCACTACTGTAAGCAAGACGACAGAACTTGGAACTGAAGTTTTATTTAAAGTTTTACATACGGCAATAGGTTGATCTGTCAGACTGGAAGCTATATTCCTACTATTGGTTCCTCCAACCTAATAAGAGTAGGAGATAATGTTACTCCTAATATGTATTTAAGGGAAAACATTCTCAATCAGCGATTTGTGCTTACAAATATTCACAACACAGCTTTTCTTAAGAGAGACGTTGCCCTGTAATTCAGCACAACCAACAGCTTGCATCCAGAACAGACCACCAGACTTCCCCAAAAATCTGTAAATGTCTATCTGCATTGTCGGAGGAAGAGCAAGATGTTTACAAGAGCAAACCTCTAATGAAAAGCATCCTCCTCACTTATTTTCTTTTTGGTTTGGTCTCCTGAGGAAACAAAGTTAACTACCTTTTCTGCCCCAACTTCTTCCTTCCCGAAATATTCTGAAATGCTGGTAGATTTCAAATATATTCAGGAGAAGGTATTAAATTCCTGTATATTTTAAGGAAGAAAATAAAAATAT